CTTAACAATAGAGGAATGATGGCCATTTTAAGGCCGAAAATGCATCAAAATCACGTATTTTCACAATTCCAGAACCGGATCTCAGTCATGCATGGATGGATTTTGTTCAGATTTAGCACAATGTGTTGTACATATGCAGGTGCATTTCGGTCATGATCTGCTTTGAATGTATATGTCACTCAAATATGAACGGAACGGGGACGTGTCATTGACAATGACTTGTTGTTTATTGTTACAGCTACATGTACCGTGGCTGTGTTCAACTATGATAAAGAGAAAGAAATACAGTCATGTAGCTTAATCCAGTGTGATCCATTAGATCAGTGTGTGTTTTCAACAATGGATAATTTTACAACAGTGACGATGGTCAGAACTACACTTACAGGTAAGTTAGAAAAACTTATGACAGTAAAATAAAACAATTGATACGTTCACATTATGGGATCTCGGCATGCGTTTGCAGAGGGATTACAGCAATTGCGTTCACCTTAATTGGGACCCACCTGGCTTGTGCTGAAGTCACGCTTTCATTCGTTGATCTGTTATTTGACCCAAACATGGAAAATGATATGCATATGATGATAATAGTAATTGCTATATTGAAATTATATCTATTTGCTGTTTTGAAGATGAAACGTCAACTGCCAACACTTCCGAAGGAGAAGAACACATAGGAGCTACTGAAGTAGAAGAAGTTGGAGGAGTTAGTGACGGGGATTATGATGATACGACAGTTCAACCTCATATCACAACTAAGCCAACCTTTACAACACAGAAAACAGCTACAGAAAAGGTAAGCTAGTATTGCATACTAACATCATCATGCTGTTGAAAATCATCTTTTGTAGTTTTTGTTTTCATTCTTTCTTTCTTTCCAATTACAACTCTTTAGATTTAATAAGGTATTGCTGCAGACATTGATGTAAAAGTATCACAATTCCTCATAGAAGTCTTAAACTACATATATTTCTATGTACATGTTTTAAATCACATGCATATTTCCTTCTTGATGACACCATTGAGAATAACAATAACCAAATTGTAACAGGAGGAATTGAATTACAGAATTCATGCCACCATATGTTAGTTATCCAATTTTCAAAATGATTTGCATGCCAACTCGTTATTGTTTGCATGTGCTATAAACTTATGACGTAGATGTCAATAAATTGAGTACTTGGCAACTTGGGATGATATACTGTGACATGGGGCATTCATTAGTGAAAAACCTTTCCCTATACTGTCTGTGGTGTAATCTTTGCTGCTTTATGTCGACATAGTGATAGATAGAATTTTTTTTTATTTGGAACGTACCATTGAAAACTTGATTGGGCCAGTATGAAATAGTTATTACTGAAATTAGATAAGGATGGTGGCACGAATGAGCTCATCAATATAGTGAATCAGGACTAGTTTGGATTTCCATTGTCAAATATAAAATTTTGAATTTAGTAAATTAGCATATAAGAGTTATATTTGGAAATTCTACTCTGTATGGTGGCACAAAAGAACTCATCAATACCATAAGTAGGAACTACAGTTTTGGATTTCCATCTCTGTATGGTGAATGGTGATTTGGAAATAAAACTTTGTATGACTTATACACCCATGGAAATTATACCCTGTATGAAGTAAGCACACAAGCTCATCAACAGGGAGGGGGGGGGGGGCAGATATAAACTGGAATGGCCCAATAACAAAACAAAACATTCAGAACAACAAAAACTTACAGTACTAAAGCATATCAAGAATATGGAAAATAAATTTTGCAAAAATGCTAAGAATGAAAAAATCATTACTTGAAACAATAATAGGAAATAATTCATCCATGCTAAAATCTTCCAGCTTTGGGGCATAGATGTATAAAGCTGCAAGGAATCTAGATCTTTGTTCTTTGATTTGACAGTTATAACACTATAAAATGTTTCTCATCCCCTACTTCATTCTTTGCCTTAAGGGTACTCTGATAGGAAGATGGTCAAACAGCCAAACTGTTGTGTAGTCCAAAATAGTTAAATGTACTACAATGTATATGTACCATCAAACATCTGTGCATGTTATATGATCATCAAAAAGTCAGGAGGGACAACAACAACATTAAATTTCATTCAGCTAATTAGTTCCCGCTCCGACCGTCCATCTGTACTATTGTCCGTAGCTATATCTCGGACACCCATTGACGGATTTCATTCAAACTTTACATGAAGACAATACATAATATCTTACATATGCATGATCGGAAAAAAATGGTCGACTGGTGGCCATTTTGTATGTAAAATTTGCTATTTCTGATACCTAAACGTGTCCGCAGCAGATTGGATCAAAGTTAGTATGATGATCATACATATTGGGTTATATTGGGATTCGAACAAATATGGCCGACTGGCGGCCATCTTGTTTTTCATGGTACCCATAATGCAATGAACGTTTCTGTTTAAATTTTGTACAAAGATAGTATACCAAGAGATACATCTGCACCAACACGATTTTTGTGATTCAATTCAATATGGCTGGCCGACGCCCAATTTTCATGTAAAAGCGCTAAATCATCATTTTTACATGTCGGGAGCTGTTTCTCAGAGATGACTGGGCCGATTTAGATCAAACTTGGTATAATGATCATACATATCTGGTTATAGGTGAACACTGGTGGCCATTTTGTTTTTCATGGTACCCATGCCTACTTTCCCATGAACGCAATGAACATTTCTGTTTAAATTTTGTACAAAGACAGTATACCAATAGATACATCAACATGAACATTATTTTTGTCATTTGATTCAATATGACTGCCCAATGTCCAATTCTCGTGTAAAAGCACTAAATCATAATTTTTTACAAATCCATCTTCTATTAATGGTTTCAATCTAATCTCAATGACTTCATTAGCATCAAATTAATATGTCAGATCACAATGTTTTGGACGGGACTGTGTCATTAACAATGATTTGTTTAATGAAAAAGTGTTCCAAAATAGTACACAAAACAATCACTTGTAATTTTGAAATAATTTGAAATTATTATATCTCAGAAAGTTGAAAAGTTATCATTTTGCTGCATGTTATGTCATTATTTATTAGAAATTACCTTTATAGGCATTGCAATGTAAAATCATTGTTTACATTTTTACTAACCAGCATGTCAGATAAAAAATATCGCTATCAATCAACACAGGCTCACAATCTGCTGTAATTTTATTGTCCATATGTTGCTTTCTTAATATGGACAAGTACCAGCTCCCCTATTTTATTATCAGGTGCGAACAACACGTTCCTGCCAACCACTCATTGTGCAAAACATAAACAAGCTCAACAGCCTATTAAAAATATGAAAATTATTGTTATTTAACATTATCAATATTAGAGTACCTGAGTAATTATCATTATATCTTAATTTATTTTTGTTTTTACAGGAAGAAACACAAACAGAAAACGAAGGTAACAAAATATTCAATAATCACATTTTAAACTCTTAAATTTAGCTTTAATTGATTTTAAATTACTAATTTCTTCCTCCTTAACCTATTGTATGTAATCTGTCAAATTGTTATAACATATGAAGATATATTTAGATATTTTTTTGTCATAATTCATAACTTTTAATAAGTATTTTACTATTTGATTTTCTTCTGATACTTATTTGATTTTAATAATGTAAATTATAAAACAATCTTATAAAGTTTTAAAACTTTATGAAGAATCATGTGAAAACGAGTGTTACTGACACTCGGCATCTCTGCATGTGCATGTCTGCTTGTTATGTCTGGTGTTTATTTTTCAGAAATTCCACTTTTGATTTTTGCATTATTTCTTATTTTAAAGTTTTCACATGTATATTGAGACATACGCAGGTTCCTCTTGTTACCCATTTTTTATACAAAACTACATTGCTATATACAGTGCAATCAATTATATACCAGCAAGCATTCGAAAAATTCAAAACAAATTGATATAGGTTTTAGTTTGCGAAAGATGACAAAGTTGAACTCTGTAATGAAACAGATGAGGACCCACAATTGGAAATTAATGGGGGGGGGGGGGTATTAATAATGTTTCGATATTAAAAAGAAAGTATAAACAAAATGTTTTGGATACATACTAGTCATGTATTATAACAATATTCTTGATTTCAAATGCTTCACCATTAATTTGTGCCAAGAGGAAATTAGAAGTAAAGTTCTCATGGACTTGGTCAAGCTCAAGACAGTTGTTAAAGTGGTATATAGACTTGGCCATGAAGTTAATAAGCATTTCCAATTTGCTCCTATTATTTCACTTACCCCAAGGTTTGTTTTATTGGAGATGGGGGTGGAGGTGGGGTGTTATATTGACTGGCACAATATGACAAGGATTTCCTCACTATTTGCTCATCAAAATTTTACGACCACTTATTCAAATTACTGATATACATTGTACGAAGTATTTTAAAAATCTGGCTGTAATCTGAGAGGTTTGCGTAAGTCTCGATTGTCTCTGAATAATGGGTACTTTTTTATTTGTTGAACCTGTTAAGGGAAAGTTACAAATAGCACGGGGAGAGGTAGAATTAGTACAACCCCTACAACTCATACTATTGGTGTTGGGAAAACAGAAAGCACAGTTTTATCAAAACATACAGATGCAGCAGCTATATCAACAACTGTCAAGAAGGCATCTACACAATCAGTGCCTGTCACACAGCATGCTGGAACCGAGAAGGCATCTACACAAGCACTGCCTGTCACACAGCATGCTGAAACCGAGAAGGCATCTACACATGTACCTACACAAGCGGTGCCTGTCACACAGCATGCAGAGACTACAGCTGTGATTGGTGGGGGGAGTACGGCCAAGGAAACAACTATTGCCATGGAACATGATAAAACAACATTAAATCATGAGTCCAGCACACATTCAAGTAGTAAACTTATAAGTAGTTTACAATCAACTGTTCGTACCAGTACACAGTCAGTTAAAACAACTGTTAAATCTACTACAAGTAAGTTCTATGGTTGTGTATGAGTGTCAATAAATCATGTATTGGTATTATTATACATGTCTGATAGTTGCGAATATACACAAAAATGCCTAATGTATATTGCACCGATATACAAACTGTTATCGAAGTGATGTAGTTTTGGCTCATGCAAAACTTGTTAAGTGATTTCATGTGTATGTTGCCTTTGACTGAAATACATCACGTCTTAATACTATGAGGTTATTATGAGAATACCGAAAAGTGTGCACGAAAACAGTACAACAGGAGTATTGACTGACGTGCAGATGCAACGG